TAAAGGGGAAACGGAGGGGACATAGGAAGGAAAAGAGAAAATGGATGATAAAGGAAGAGGGAACTCAGAGAAAAAAAAAAACATGGGGATAGGAGAAGGAAGGGAAAGGAATAAGGGAGAGAAGGAATGGGAGAAACTAGAAGTAGAAGGAGAAAGAAAAGAAAAGGGAAAGAGGAGGCGAATAGTAGAAAGAGAAGGGTGAAAAAGGAAGAGAAAAGTACCTCAACATTTATTTTTTATTATTTTTTTATTTATTTATCTATTTTTCCTTTATTATTATTATTATTATTATTATTTTTACATAGGAACTACCCCGGATCCCGCTAATTACAATCACTATCATACAACAACAATTATACAAGCAACGAGCGATAGGCAGAAAATATCAGTTCATTCTTCAGCTCATATATAATATATACATACATATATATATATATATATATATATATATATATATATATATATATATTACGTAATACCGCTATGTATTTCTGTTGTATATATAGTCGAGACCGGTGAAATACATCTCTTCCGTGTGAAAATATACTGTCCCATTCATTCCTTTTCTATTTTTTTCGTAATGAATCCTTCTGTAATGATAATAGTAATGATAATGATGTTATATTGTTATTATTATTATCATTATAATTAACATTATTAATAATAGTAGCAGCAATAATATAATATAATAATGATAATAATAATAATAATAATAATAATAATAATAATAATAATAATAATAATAATAATAATAATAATAATAATAATAATATAATAATAATATAATATATTATTATTATTATTATTATTATTATTATATATAAAATAATAATATAATAATAATAATAATGATAATGATAATGATAATGATAACATAATAATAATAATAAATAATAATAATAATGATAATATATAATAATAATAATTATAATAAAATGATATAATAATATAATATAATAATAATAATAATAATAATAATAATAATAATAATAAATAATAAATAATAATAATAATAATAATAATAATGATAATAATAATATATATAATAATAATAATAATAATAATAATAATAATGATAATAATAAAACAACAACAACAACTACAACAACAACAACAAAAACAATGATATGATAATAATAACAATAATACTAATAATCATAATGATAATTGTAATAACAATAAATAATGCATTTCAGTAATCTGTTTTAGTCAAATTAGAATCAAAGGAAACGTCAGTATTTGGTGAAGTGGATGCTGAGTTAACATAACAGAGATATTCTGTCTGTGTATGCAAATTTGATTCATTTGTGACATCCACTCTGCCTCTGTGCACGAAAATTAAGTGAATCCATGTTAATCTGTTTTCATTGTATATTGCAACCCTGAGATTCAGCATTTGTTTTAAAATTGTGTTTGGTTTTCAGATTATTAGCAAGTTTATTGATTAAAATTGTGGAAGGCCCGACGAATAAATATTTATATATACGGACATGAATAGAAAAAACAAAAACACTCAAACGTTGATAAATGAAGGAACTCAGAGAAAAAAAGAAAAAATAACATGGTGATAGGAGAAGGAAGGGAAGGAATAAGGGAGAGAAGGAAATGGGAGGAGTAGAAGGAGGTAGAGAAAGAACACAGCACAAACTAGATTTACCGAGATAAGTGAGACACGTTTCAAAATCCTTCTTGCTTTCATCTCCAGGTCGTAGGATGGAAGCCAAAAGGATTTCGAAACTGCTGTCTCACTTCTTTCAATAAATCAACTTCGTGCAATGTGTTTTTTTTCTGCCATATATGGGCATGCATATACACATAAAGGCATATCTATCTATCTGATAAATCTATATATACGGTAGATAAGCATCTCTAAACATGTCTAGACTGACAGATATGTATTTAATAATATATATACGTATGCAAATTTAATGTTCATTAGGTTGGCATCGGCAATTTCAACATAACTATAGCATTATATACAGTACGTCTTAAGGATACCAGTGTGCAGTTGGTCCAAAATGACGAAGTTGCTGTATGTTGTATTTTGTCTTAAATTTCAGGCATGATCTATGTGTGGTTTCGAAAATTTGGTTCGTTTTTATGGGTTACCTGTTGTTGCATATGCATTGGCTGTTTATTGCATACCTTGTGTTATTTCATTACGTCATCCTGTTTGCTGGTAATATTACTATTCTTGGCGATAAAATGATACTGATATTATTTATCAATATTCCTTTAGTTGTAAATTTCTTTCGTGTTCTCTGTCGTTCCTAACCATTTTAATTTTTTTTTTGTCTATTCTTTGATCTTCCCTAATTCTTGTTCGTCTCAAGTTCTTATGTTGTGGTATGAATTTTATATTGATTCAAGCCATTTTCGGGAATGAAATGATTTCCCACCCCTCATCTCACATTCTCAACACAAGCTGAAAAAGGATACAATCTTAATTTCGCGACGCATCTATTACAACTGCTTCAAAGCTTGTTTACTTACCTGTATTCTGATTAAGTCGACCGATGATGAGGTTTGAGCTGCCAGGGACCGGCTGCGTGTCGAGGGGCGCGAGAACCTGCTCTAGCCCCGGCAGCATGGGTCTCTTGCCCACGTCCCCATCGCCCCCGGGGTGGCAGGAGTACCTCCGGGGGACCGGGGACCCCTGCTTGCTCTTGCAGCGCGGGATGTCGCGGTTGGGAGACGTCCTGAGGTTGACGCGGGCTCGGAGGTTGTTCATTTCCTGCGCTGACGTCACTGGGACGTCGTGGGAAGTTTTGTTAAGCTCGGAGGGCGCGAAGGTGTCTCTCGGTGGCTGTCGGACCGGCTGCTCGTGGTGCGACGCCGTGAAGGACACCTGGGAGTAATCCGCGGCGTCGAAGCCGTGCGACGGACCGGGGACGGGGCAGAGGTCGTCCAGCGCGGGGCCGGAGAGGTCCGGAAGGCTCTGGGCGCTCGGCCTGCGCTCCAGGCTCCCCGGGGGGATGGCCAGCGAGTTTTCCGCGACCCGGCCAACCTCCACCTGCTGGTTGGTCAGCTCCACCTTGCCCTCGGGGACGGTGAGGCTCGCGTGCGGGCGGGCGAACAAGTTTTTCCCCGCCTGTTGCTCCAGGTAGTTCCCCCCCCTCACTGCCTCGAGAAAGACGCCAGCGTCTAAGCTCGGACTTTTGCTGCGGAAGTGCTTCACGTTGTTGACCCGAAGGAAGTTGCTTTGGCGGAAGTCGATGCGGTCCAGGAAGGTGTCCACGCTGGGGCTCTTGGCCGCGAACGCCTTGCCGGCGGCGGAGGTGGCGACGGCCTCGGACGCGCCGGGGCCCTTCGAGGCGAATGACCGGTGGAATGTCATGTCCAGGTCGCTCTGGTTCAGGTAGCAGTCCAGGCTGGGACTCTTGGAACGGAAGTCATTCGTGATCGGGATCGGCAGCGTCGCCTGGGAGGCCCCGCCCTGCGAGGCGCCCTCCTCCGACTGCCTCAGCCTCCGAGGAACCATGTGGGGCTTCTGGTGCGCGAACTTGGCCTCGACCTGCGGCGACGCGGCCATGGGCTTGCCGCGCTCCTGGTCCCGCATCGCCGAGTTCAGGTGCCGGAAGGAGGAGGGCGTCTTCATGGAGGAGTCCTGCGCGTCGTCCGCCCTCTTCGTCCGGGAGGGGATGTTGACGGGGCGGCTCACGTAGGCGACGTTGGACTGGGACCGCCCGCGGTAGTACCCCTCGTACTCCTGGTAGCCCTCCTTCTGCGTCAGCTGCGTGGCCAGGAGCGAGGTCTCGGAGGCGTACTTCTGCAGGTTGCCCTCCGCCCCGTAGACGCTGGTCCTCTGCTGCGTCTCCACCGCCTCGTGGTAGAGGGGCGGCGGCCGCACCTTCCGGAAGCCCTGGCTGGGGTCCTCCTCGTAGCCCAGGTTGAAGTGCACCCCCGGCCGCCCGTCCCTGCCCCCGGGGGAGGGGTACCGCGGGGGAGGAGGTCGCCGGACGCCCTCGGGGAGGAACACATCCCCCTGGGAGAAGAAGTCCTGCTGAAGGGACTGCTGCTGCTGGCTGGCTTCCTGGGGCGAGTCCGTGACCCTCAGCCGACTGAATCCCTGCACCGGCTCCATCTCGCGGGGCCTGGGAGGGAAGGCGAGAGCGGGTCAGGGTAAGGAATGGTGGTGGTGATAGCAAGAATAGCGATAATAATGATAACAATGATAATAATGATAATGATATTAATAGTCATTATTATGATGAGGATAATAATAATATATATACTCACATACACACACACATTATCATAATGCAGTAATAATGATAATAATGATGATGGTTATGATGATAATGATGGTGATGGTGATGATGTTCAACTCTACAATTAAGGATCACTGCAGAAACAATAGTAAGTAACGGTATTAATGGTAGTAATGATGATAACGAAGGTAAAAATCCGATTTTCACTACAATTATTACTAATATAAATAAAAGCAACGACAACAACCAGAGTAACAATTATGATAATAACAGTAAGAACAAGAACAATAATAATATGATAATGATCATAATGACAACGACAAAAAATGAAATCCGTTTCTCCTCAAAAAAAAAAAAAAAAAAAAAAAGTGTCAGATATAGAAAGAATGACATATTTTCAATTAATCATAATTTATTCAAAATTCTATCGTCTAACTACAATTTATCGTTTAATTGCTTTGTCTTAATTCATCCTGAAATGTTCAACACTTCCCTTAACCCACTTAATTACGTTTGGATATATTCATGTATTTCTGTTTCATCGCCCTTCTCAAATATCCGAAATGAGATCCTTTGTTGGATGTAATTCGGAAGTAATTGGAAAGGAGGAATAAAAATGATGATCCAGTTATGATAATATCAACACCCGTAACTAAAGCGTATTCAGAAAACGGGAAACGTTCGTTGTTGCATAAACTATTTTATTTCGATCTCTTTTCCCAATGTTTCCCTTTCGTCTAACCTCATTTACGCTTAATTTGTCAAAAAAAAAAAAAAAAAAAAGGAAAAGGAAAAGGAAAAGGAAAAGGAAAAGGAAAAGGAAAAGGAAAAGGAAAAGGAAAAGGAAAAGGAAAAGGAAAAGGAAAAGGAAAAGGAAAAGGAAAAGGAGGAAAGGAAAAAAGGAAAGGAAAAGGAAAAGGAAAAGGAAAAGGAAAAAGGAAAAGGAAAAAAAAATATCTAAATTTATCTACTAAATCTAAACACACGTTCTTCATTTGCTCCATCTATCTTAAAGTTTGTATATAATCAACTCTAATCTACCATAATCACACACACCTTACATGGGCTTATTTTTATCTACTCTTTATCAACTACACTTCCACCTGATGAATTAATTAAGGAAATAAATTATCGCAGCCTAGAATGACTATCATGATTCGAAAATAGCAAGAAATTGCAAATCTAAGCCGTTTGATTAGCATTTTTGAATAATAATAATAATAATTAATGATTTTCAATAACAACTCTTAATATTTTTAAACACTTCTAGCCCTAAAATCTTTCTAAAGACCTCTACATATACTTCAATCGCCACCAACCTCACCTATACTTAAATCGCCCCCCCCAAATCAATTATAATCGACCTTATCTCCGTTGGTATACCCCTAAAATCTACTTAGCATACCATAAATCTTAACCTTCCATATATTCTAATTAATATTCTCGCAATCTGTACTTTACTTTACTTTACTTTACTATGAGGGAGTACCAGCATGCTGACGTTACTATGTTGGGGTCAAAGTCGGGGCGGAAAGGAACTGACCAGCCTATCGCATTATCCCGTGACTTATTAAGGATTTTTCTTAGCGAATATGTCCCCTAAATCCACTTTTATATGAGGCCTACTTTGAATTGAAATCTGTACTTTACCCCAAACATCCATTCTTCATCACAAATATGTCACATCGTTTTTTTTTTTTAATTTAAATTTCTAATCTACTCACAGAAACAGGAGAGGACGCATAAAAAATATTCACCATGTTAATCGGGTCGAAGTCAGGGCCATCAACTGTGTTCGAACGAAGCCTTTCCATTGTCTGTTTACTCATTCGGTAAATATAAACAAATAAGAAAAGAACGAAAAGAAATATGAAGCATAACTGACAATAACTTACGATTTACAAAAATCATAATAGATCCTTTAGTTGACACTGTCCATTGCCAGCTACGTCGATGTCAGCGTCAATTGTCTCAACCTTCCTAGTCAGCTGTTGTCATATATTGTTTACAAAGCCATTTATTGCGTCCCGATATCGAATATTTTACGTTACAGAAGTTTATAGCGTTTTGTTATGAGGTATTTATCATTTTATTTCTTATTTTTTTTCTCTCTCTGCATTTATCTGTTATCGAATTTATTGCTTGTTGAATCGTGGTATTTTAGCTTATTTGTAAATAATTACCAGTGGAACTTTCCGTTTTCTTTTTTGCTTTATTTGTAATATCTTTCTATTTATTTAATATTTTCCAGAACATAGAAAGAAATGTCTACAAGCTTATGGTAGTGTTCTTGTTAAACATTTCTGAACACATTTTGAGAAGATATAGTGAATAATAAAATAAAATAAATGAATAATAAATAAAATAACTTCGTACCCCCAATAATCAAGATGATTTCACCGAAGAAAAGATCTTTTATGTCTACAAGCTTATTGTAGTACAAGAGATATATACAAAGTACACAAAAATTATAATATATAATATAATTATATAATTATAATATACAAAGTCAAAGAAATTGTAATATACAAATACAAAAGGCATAAACAGACATCAGCACGAGCGATACACATATTAATTAAACAATTAAAACAGGCTTTTGATGCGAATATGAAACTGGCTCATGGAACGTTGATTAAATTCACAAAGAACTGCAATTACTGTATAGATATATAGAAAAAAGACACAATATGGATAAGAAGCAAGTCTTTAGTAAAAGGCACAAAGAACTGCATTTACTATATAGATAAAGAAAAAAAGACACAATATGGACAAGAAGCAAAGTTTTTTAGTAAAGGCACAAAGAACTGCATTTACTATATAGATATATAGAAGAAAGTCACAATATAGATAAGTTTTTTAGTAAAAGGGACAAAGAACTGCCTTTTACTACATAGATATATAGAAGAAAAACACAATATAGATGAAAGGCACAGTATAGATAAAAGTCACAAAAAATGTAATTACTAAATATTTGATAATAAACGCTATAATTAGTACATAAGCAAGAGCCTTTGCTGACCGAAAGGTATTTATGTACATTAATTATATGTCTACTATTAATATGCGCATTTTCCTTTCATAGAACTTATGTAATACTTTAGGTAAGTAATCACAGTGATCATCGTGAGTAATCTAGGTAACTATTGCCTCTGTGTTATAAGTAATCTAGGTAACTATTGTCTGTGTATTATAAGTAATCGAAGTAACCATTGCCTGTGTATTATAAGTAATTAAAGTAACCATTACCTGTGTATTATAAGTATCCGAAGTGACTGTTGCCTCTGTG